GTGGGTTATAAAAAATCTGTCCTGTTCTACAGGAAAATAGAAGGGGAAAGGGATAAGAGAAGGGGTGGGGGGAGATAGAAGGGAAGGCAGATTAATGGAAGGGATATTCAGAATGTATGCCATCTTGTGGTGGGGGGAGGGATGAGATGATGAGAAAATTTGGAACTCAAAATCTTGTGGAAATGAATGTTAAAAACTAAAAATAAATAAACTGATAAGACAAAAAAAGCTCACTACTTTTCATTTTATTTTTGTTTGTTATTTTTAGTGTATCTTCTTTTACAACATGACTAATATGGAAATATGTTTTGCATAGTGCACATTCATAATCTATAGTGAATTGCTTGTTGTAACAGAGAGGAGGGAGAAGAGGGAGAGAGAGAATTTGGAACTCAATTTAAAAAAAATCTTCAAAATTGGTTTTACATGTAATTGGGAAAAATAAAATATTATTCAAAATAAAATAATATATGTGTGTGTATTTGTATATTTATATATGTATGAATATGCATATATATGAGAGAGAGAGAGAGAGAGAGAGATTTGCATGGAAATCTCTCTGTGTCCGTGTTCCCCCACTCTTCGTGCCAATTGCCTAGAGGTATTCCAACTCCCCATTTCCCAGGACAAGTAGATTTTTTTGTGCAAAAAATACCACAAGCCTCATCCACTGTAGGGTCCTTATCTCTCTTCAAGTCGATCCAATTCAATAGACATTTATTAAACACCTACTATGTGCCATCCTCTGTACTAAATTCTGGGGATATAATTAATTATAATTATAATCTGGGGATATAATTAATAAAAAAGAAAGACAATTACACAAAAGGGGGCAGGAAGGGGGTGAGGGAGGCTAGGGTTATATCTTGTTTTGTGGAGTTGGAATGAGACAGAGCAGCAAATACAGAGTGGAGTGAGCTAAAAAATTTAGTTTCTGCCCTCTATAAAGGAAGGCATTTGGAGGAGGCTGGCATTCCACTTTTCAGTCCTCCAATCAGGTGGGAGAGGTGGCTGAGAGGTGTTGTTAGTCAAGGCATGAGTTAACAGAATGGCAATTAGATTAGAAGTGATGAGTTTAACCTGAGAGAATTATCTTCTTCAGTGGAGTTAAGACCAGAAAGAGCAACAAATATGGAGTGGAGTCTTTCACTGACCATCTCCACCCACCATCTCTCTTCCCCCATAGGGCACATTCATTCATAGAACTCTTTCCTACCTCCAAAGTAAGCCCTCCTTCCTGTCTCCCCCCTTCCTTCAATATTTCCCTTCTTCTCCTCACTCACTCCCCTGTAGGATCTTTGCTTTGCGAAACCACAGAGGTCACCTTCCCCTCATTATTAACCCTTAATTTGATCCTGGCACATCACTCACTCCTTCTTCCTATCCTCCTGCTCACCTCTCCCCACCCCTTTCAGGTACCCTCATATGTAATAAAGAAGACCCACAAAAGAAATATTCATCTTTAGGTAGGGTATCTCCAAGTTCTGTCCATAGTGTTCCCTATCCACCTCTTCACTGTTCTCTCTACCAGATTTCTCTTTTAAGATAGATCAGTTAGAGGTGGGGAACCTGTGGCCTTGAGGCCACATGTGGCCCTCTTGGTCCTCAAGTGCAGCCCTTTGACTAAATCCAAATTTCACAGAAGAAATCCCCTTAATAAAAAGATTTGTTCTGTAATACTTGGACTCAGTAAAAAATCCACACCCAAGGACCTAGAAGGCCACATGTGCTCTTGAGGTTGCAGGTTTCCCACCCTTGAATAGAAGTCACTTACTGGTCTTTCTCTTGTCACGCTGTCACTGTTGCTGTCCTTGACTGCTGAATTTGCTCACTACTGATTTCTGCCATTTGAGGTGTTTAAAGGCAAATAATACTTTCAGTTGTAACTTTTTTAAAAAAAAAATGTCAACCTCTTCTTTGTTATTGAATATCCATCTTTTTTCCCCCTACATAGTTAAGCTCAGATTTGCAGGATAGATCACTCTAGGCAGCATCCTGAGCTTTAATGCTCTTCAAAACATATTATCCCATTTCCTATTCCTTTTTCTAATGGGTGTAGGAATAGTTTTCAAATGTCCTTTCCTTTATAGTTGAAGGTCTTTTTTCCCCTATGGCTTAAGGAACTTGTTTCTGGGTTAAAATGTTAAATTTAACCACAATATGTCTTGGAGTTTGCTGCTGCTGCTGCTGTTGTTTTCTAGAGGCAATCTGTGAATTCTTTCAAATGAAATTTCAGTTTCTATGTTCAGAAATTCTGGACATTTTTCTTCTATTATTTCCTTTATTACTGTTTCAAGGTATTCTTTTTTGTACTGTCTTGTTCCTCTGGAAGACCTATAAAGATTAAGTTTTCTTTACACATCCTATCTTTGAGATCAGAATATTTTGTTGCAAAGTGAACATAGTTTCATTTAATGTTATTCTGCTTTTTGCTTCTCTTCTTTTAGGTTGTCTTTCACTTCTGTGTATTTGTATTTCCAATATATCATTTTTTTTTGTTTCTTTGCTGAGGTTTGTCATTACAGATTCAAGTTTTTTTTTCTATTCTGCTCATTATTTTTTTCTATGCAGGATGTAAGTTCTGTTCTTATATTTCTCATTTTTTTCTTTTAAACCATTGAGGAACAGTGTACTGTGGCTCTGTATTCTCCTCAAACTCCAAATGGTCTTCTGTCTCATAAGTGTTGAATCATTTTCCTTTATTTTTCAGTATTTATTCATAAATTCCTGAACTTATTTACCAGATGTGGAGATGTATTTTCCTCCTATTGTTATTGTGTTTCTTATTGATTTTTATGTTCAAAGTCTTTAAGTTTTCTTCTTCATGAGGTCTTTGGTGATTTTGGTCTCCTGCTCTCCCCTCCATCCTTTATTTTCCTTTCATTCTTTATCTCACTCTTTCCCCCCGATCATGATTTTCTTGGGGGCTACAATGTCAAAGCATCTCAGCTTCCTCCCACACTGGGGAAATCACAGTTCACCAGCCTAGGTCTCTGCTCCAAGTGGCTTTTGGTTGGTCTGGACTGGCCCCAGTTGGATATTGTGCTATTTTCCTCAGGCTTAGTGGAGTGTTGCACAGCAACTCATTTGTGAGGTGTCCTATCCTGCTAACCTGTCCTACTTCATCTGTTCCTCAGTTCTCTGCTCTTACAACAGTATTTTGGAACTTTGCAGCATTGAGTTACAGTCCCCAACAAGCTTTTGCTCATGAAGGGCTGTGGTCAAGCTCTTTGTTGATGCCTGAGCCAACTTCTACAGCCTGAAGACAGGGTCTCCACAGGACTGGAAAAAGGGAGGTGGGACTGAAGTGTAAGTATGGGTTTTGATGTAAGTTTGTGTCAAGTCTTTTAATTTTTTTTCAGTGTAGCATTGCTACCAATATCATGGGAGGAGGGGAAGTAATGCTGAGTGAGTTCAAGATGGGTGATTATCAGTTCCTGTTTTTTTAACCATCTTTTGGACTCTAACCATCCTAGATGATGGAGACAGTTAAAGTTGCTTTATCTTTGGTGAATACTTTCTGTTTTGGAAAGGTCTTAGAGGTCATGAGGATCAAAGAAAAGGTCTAGTCCACCATCATGCTGCTCATATGACATCAGTAGCAGAGGGAAAAGTTTTACTGGAAATGGCAAACAGAAGCTTTTATATATGATCCTAATGGTAATGCAGAATCAACAAGGCTTTTTTTTTGTTTGTATATTTTGTTTTGTCCTGAATTTTTTTAAAAAAGGGGAATGCCATGGTTATGTCTGGATTTTTAAAAAAATCATTTTGGCAGTTGTAAGGAGGCTAGATTGGAGTAGGGGTAGATGTAAGATGAAGGAAACCAATTAGGATATTTTGCAGTTGTACAAGTGGGAGATGATAAGATGCTGACCTTGGATTATCCGAAGGGATTCAAGAAATTTTGCAAAGGTAATAAGAAAGAAACAACAAGATTGGGCAATTGATTGACTATATGACCTGAGTTAATTAGGAACCAAAAATGACAATAATGTTTTAAACCAGGGCAAGTCGAGAGGTGGTGGTGCTCTTGACAGTGATGGAAATAAAAGTTTTGTTAATTCTATAATACAAGGACAGAGGCAACTATATCTGTATGAGGACCAGGTATGCCTCTCACTTAATGCCAGACTAGTCCTTTTACAGGAGAGTTGTATGAATAACCAGTAAACCTAAGATGTTCCATTCTTTCTGGCTAAGCTAGCTCCTTCCACTGACTCATCGTTTTCTGTGATCTATCGGCGCTTAACTTCATTCTGTAGGGAATTGAGATATTTGTACCATTATTTGTATCATTAATCACTATGTTTATTTTTGGCCTATGTCAATATTCTTCTGCTTTTTATAGTGAGAACTCATTAAGGGCAGGGTCCATTTCTGGTTTTGGACTTTTTTAGCTGAGAGAGGCAACTAGGTGGCTCAGGAGATAGAGTGGTAGATTGGGATTCAGAATGAACTGAATTCCAATCCTGCTTCAGACATCTATTAGTTGTGGGACCTTGGACAAGTCACTTAACCTCTCAGTCTCAGTTTCCTCATCTGTAAAATGGGCATAAAGATCTTATCTACCTCACAGAGTTATGATGCAACAATTGAGATAATGTATATAAAGTACTTTGTAAATCTCAAAATGATATACAAATGCTAACTATTATTATTATCATATAGTTGAGGATTAAAAGATGTGGTGGTGGTGGTAATGATGATGATGACCTTATTTGCACTCCCCAATATAGAGAAACATGATCTTTATCCATCGATCAAACACTTCCCAGTTTTGACTTTCATTTTTTCTCACTTCAATACAAGTCTTCCTAGAATCTTCTCACGGATTTTCCGTGTCTTCACACAGTATACTATAGGGTTCATTAAAGGGGGGACCATCAGGAAGACATCAGCAATGATGATCATTGTCAAGGGAGACTTATGTTTGGCAAAGCGATGCATAGCAGCCAAGGTGATGATGGGCACATAGAAGATTAGTACAGCACATATGTGGGAGATGCAGGTGCTGAGGGCCTTGAGACGTTCCCCATGGGATGCAATGCCCATTACTGTTTTTAAGATGAACATGTATGAAATCACAATAAACACCAAGTCAGACATCATGCAAAGGGCAACAAAAAAGCCATAGATAAAGTTGATCCTATTGTCAGAGCATGCCAGTTTCATGACATCCTGGTGCAGACAGTAGGAGTGAGAGAGAAGTCTTTTCTTACAATAGATCAGCCTCTTTAGAATGAAAGGGAGGGGAAGGACTAAGAGCATACTCTTAATAGCAAGCACTAGTCCTAACTGTGTAACTCTAACACTAGTAAGAATGGAGCTGTATCTTAGGGGATTGCGGATTGCTAAAAAATGATCAAAAGACATGATCAGCAGCACTGAGGACTCCATATCAGTGAAGCCATGAATAAAGAACTCCTGAGTAAAGCAGGCATTGGGGGAGATTCCAGGGGAATTGAACAAAAAGACCCTTAGCATGGTGGGTAAAGAAGAGAAGGACAGGCCCATGTCAGAGATGGCCAGCATTGATAGGAAATAGTACATGGGCTCATGAAGTGAAGGTTCTGTCTTGATGATGAAGAGGATAGTACAGTTGCCAAGAGCAGCAGTGATGTACATGAGGCATATGGGGATGGCTATCCAGATGTGAATATGCTCCAGTCCTGGGATTCCAACAAGGAGAAAAGTGGAGACCATGCCTTCAGAGATATTCAAAGTTGACATGATGGCAAGGATGGTAAGATATGCTCCAGAATCTGAAATGATATTCATAGAAATGACTATTTGCTCTAATGTCTTTTGGGAATATTTTCATGTCAAAGTAAAATTAGTAAAATAGTCACTTTTACTGGGAAATATACACACATACAGACACATACATATGTTAAATATGAGTTAAGGAAGAGAGAGAAATATGTTAAGGAATATCTATATAGATATATAATCATTAAGGAATATGAGTATATGTGCGTGTATGTGGTCTGTATGTATATGTGTATGTATACATATATGTACGTGTACATGTACATGTACATGTATATGTATATGTATATGTATATGTGTTTGTATTGGGCAGCTAGGTGGTAGAATGACTAGAGTGTTAATTCAGGAATCAGAAAGACTCATCTTTCTGCATGCAAATCTGACCTCAGACACTTACTAGCTTTGTGACCCTGGGCAAGTCACTCAACCCTATTTGCCCCAATTAACTCATGGGTAAAATGAGCTGCAGAAGGAAATGGCAAACCACTCCAGTGTCTTTAGCAAGAAAACCCACAAAGTTGGACACAACTGAAATGACTGAATGTGTGTGTGTGTGTGTGTGTGTGTGTGTGTATCTTCTCCTGTGAAGTAGGATAAGGTTAGGTAACTGAACCTGTGACATTTATTGGTATAGGAAATTTCATGATGAAAAAATTCACTCTTCCAATGAAGTTCAGCATCTTCTATGAAACTTATAGTCTTACAGAGTTGCATAGAGCATTTTGAAGCCAAGTGATTTACCTGGTCCCACAGACAATGTGTCAGAGACTAGAATTAAACACAGGTCTTCCTGGCTTCAAGGCCAACTCTCTATCCATTAATGCCAATAGTATCAAATTCCAATAAAAACAGACCCTTGCAGCCCACAAATTAACATAGAAAATCACAAATTAACATTATCTCTTGTATTGTGTTTTTATTTATTTTGTTAAACTTTTCAACTTTTGCCAATTGCACGTTAATCTGGTTTCTATACAACCAAGTTTGACACCTCTGTATAACATGTACTAAGCTCCCCATTAGAAGTAGGATATTTTAAAATATAAATATATATTTCTGGAATTCCCCGTTAGATTCTGAGCTTCTATCAGGACCCATGTTCCCTTTTTCTTGTCTGATGGGGGCTTATTGATAAAGAGAAGATGGGGTCCTGGAGGGAGTCGACCTTACAAAGGCCAAGTGAGGAGCTAGCTTTCAAAGTATTAAACATATTGAGTGATAATCCAAGAACATTTCAGTCTCTTTCAAAAAGATTTCTGAAATATCATTTCTTTGCTCCATTTTATTCAAATGACTATTTCTTTAACTTCTAGAAACTTCTAAATTCTCCTCTTGATGGCACACATAGTGTGGTAGAGAGAATTGTGCCCAAAAAAACACAGAATTTTAGCTCTTTCTCTTACTTGCCACATAACATGGAGCAAAGTATATTACTTTTAATAGCCACAATTGTGTGTGTACATACATATATATGTATTTATGTGTGTATGTGTGTGTAGCTAGACAAACAGACAGACAGATAGACAGATAGATAGATAGTAATATTTACCCAGTCTTTCTCTCAGAGTAGATGTGAGGAAAAGCACTTTGGAAAGTATAAAGCATTAAGTATTTATGTGCTATTAATTTTATTTTTCTGGTGTCGTGAATAGCAAATAACACTGATAGTGGCTTAAGATTCCTCAAAGGATTGAGAGATCCCCTAACTATTTCCCAATGTGTGGGGATAGCTAAGATAGAGGAGGGGGAGAGAATCATCTGGGTTGAAAAATATTGATCTCATTAATATCTATATGGCTATTTAAAGGTCACTAATAGTATCTATTCTAGCTCCTACTAACTGTCAGACATTGATAGAGCTTTTTTATTTGAAACATCCTACCCTGTTTATACTTCCAGTTTAAGGAATTCTTCTAATCCACATACCAATTGCAGAGTCAAAATGACACACAGAGATTGGGATTATGAATAATCATTCTGTTCTGTATAAGATTTCCATCTCCATTGACTTCCTTATGCTTTCTCAAATACCTTACTCTCAAAGGATCTCTTCCTACAAGCGAATATTCTCTAACAATCTTTTCATGTTCATTTAGCTAAAGGGTGCGTGAGAAAGTTCCATTTTCAATAATAACACAATAATATTCATTAATAATAAGAAAGGACCTGGGTACTCTCACTGGAGATGTGACATAGAATCCACTTTCATGATGATCCCAGGAGAAAAAATGTGAGTGGAAACACAGTGATAATACTGAAGCATTATGCTCTACTGAAGAAAAAAGGTTGGTGATGTGAGAATTTTCTGGGGGTAGGAGTGATGTTACCAGTAAGTTTTCCCCCTAATTGAAATGAAAAGCAAAAGACCACTTCATAAAAGACCATTCTTTAGATACTAAATAAGTGCCAAGAATATAGAGAGGCCTAGGTCATGCTATGTTAAGGAGAATAAATAGTACCCCCTGCGGAGTGATGAGCAAAGTCGGGCTTGAAACAAAGCACACTACTATTGCATGGAGAGATGATTAGAGGAGGATGAGAGAGGATGGCAAATGAAAGCAACCGAGGAGCTATTGATCATTCTCTTCTCCTTGATACTCTCTTCTGTCTACGTTTTCTTGACACTGCTCTCCACTGTTCTTCCATATTTCTGACCTCTCTTCCTTGGTCTCCATTGCCAGATCTTTATCCTGATAACTCTAGGTGTCTCCTAAAGCTCTGTCCTAGATCCTCTTCTCTTTTTATACTGTTATGTTTAGTGATCTCATCAGCACCTATGAATTTAATTATCATCTCTAAGCCCATAATTCTTAATGTATTTGCCCAGCCCTAAACTCTTTCTTAACCTCTACTCCTGCATCTCCAACCACTTGTTGAATATCTCAAACTGGATGTCCCATGCAACTTTTAAACTCAACATGTCCAAAACTGAGCTCATTTCCTTTTCTCTAAAACCTTTCCCTTTTCATCCCTTCTCTATTTCTGTAGAAGGCACTGTTATCCTCCAATCGCTCATGCTCAAAACCTAGATGTCATCCTCATTTTCTCACTCTTCCTCATCTTCCCTATATTATTCTATGGCCAAGAATTGCAAAGTGTCTACAACCTTTCTTGTACATGTTGTTTTCTGTCATCTGACACTGCTAGCCCTCTGGTGCAGGATTCCATTACTTCATGCCTAGACTCTTGCAATAGCTTTCTGGTTGATCTTTTCTTCCACAAGGACCTCTCATCCCAGTCCACCTTCTACTCAGCTATCCAAGTGATCTTCCTAAAACACTAGTCTAACCATGGAGCACTATCTCTGCCCTATCCCCATTTAATAATATTCAGTGATCTCCCTTTAGTGCTGGGATCAAATATAAAAACCTCTGGGTGGTATTCAAAGCCCTTCCTACCATTCCAGTCTCCTTACATTATACTAATCTCCATGTACTCTGTGATCAAGTGACATTGACCTTCTCACACAAGACATCTGATTTGTGGCTCTAACTATGCTTTTTAATTAGTTGTCCCTTATACCTGCAATATTCTTCATCTTTGTCTCTACCTCCCAACTGCCCTGGTTTCCTGGAAATATCAGTTGAAAATCCCACCTTCTGAAAGAAGTCTGGGCTAGCTTAATGTTAGTGCCTTTCCTTTGAGATTATCTCAAATTTATAGGTAGGTAGATAGATAGATAGATGGATAGATATAGACATAGGTATATTTTATTTGTATATAGTTGCTTGTCTATTGTCTCCAACATGAGATTATGAGCTCCTTGAGGGAAAAAAAATGTTTTTGCCATTTTTGTATATCCTAAACATTTAGCACAGTGTCTCACATATAGTAAGTATTTAATAAATGGTTATAGACTTAACTTGACTTTGTCAAGAAATATTTAAATTATTTTAGGTAATATTATTATTTTATTATATTATTGTAGCCATCAGTTAGCAATGAATATCTCTCAATTTATTTAAATTATTCTTTATTTCTTTAATTCATTTTAGAATTGTATTATATAAATGAGATTACCCTAGAACCTGATTTATTCTAAGATATGTTATAATGTTTTTTTTAACATTTTTCCTTTTTTATTATTTATCTTTGGAATTTGTCATTGATATATAGAAATGGTAATAATTTGTGTTTATTTTGTATCCTTTTATTTCACTATTATTTTACTATTGGGCAGCTAGGTGGCATAGTAGATAGAGTGCTAGGCCTGGAGACAGGAAGACCTGAGTTCTAATCTGGCCTCAGATGTGTGACCTTGGACAAGTCACTTAATCTTTTTGTCTTAGTTCCTCATCTGTAAAATGAGTTGGAAAAGGAAATGGCAAACCACTCTAGTATCTTTGCCAAGAGAACCCCAAATGGGTCACAAAGAGTCAGACACATGATAAATGAGTAAAACAAAACACAAAATGTTATCATTACTTTTTTCAATTTGTTCAATTTATTGTTAAAAGAGTTATTGATTATCTCAAATAGCTTCTTTTCTCATTCTCTGGTTTTCAAAGTAAACCATAATGGAGTCAACAAGAAGGGATATTTATGTCTCTTCTTTGGCAGTGCTTAATCCTTTAACTTATCTTTCCCTTGCCTTTTTGCTATCAAAGTATTTCTGGAATTATGCCAAATAAAGAGTCAAGAGAAGGGGAATTTTTCTTTCTTCATATATTTTCTGGGAAGGACTCTTGAAATATAATTTCAATTTTTATAATTTCAATATTGAATTTATAAATTCAATTCAAAATTGAAATTTTGAAAATAGTGATAGAGTTTAGTTGTAGAAAAAGGAATTTAAATAATATAAATCTATAATATATCAATTGATTTAATAATATGCTTATTTATATCTTGTTATATATTATATAGTTATAGTTTTAATAAATTGAAATTAAATTCAAAAGAAAAGAGTATTTATACTCCCTACATTATGTATCTATCCTCAAGGATCTTCAAATAGACCA